ATCTCTACCAAAAATACAAAAATTAGCTGGGAGTGGTGGTAGGTGCCTGAAACTCTGTACCTACTAAACAGTAACTCCCCATTCCTCAGCCATTCCCTCCCAGCCCCTGGTAAATACCATTCTACTTTCTGTTTCTATGATTTTGACTCAGCTAAGTATCTTATTTGAGTAGAATTATGTAGTATTTGTCTTTTTGTTACTGGCTTACTTCATTTAGCATAATATCCTCGAGGTTCATTCATTGTAGCATGTGTCAGACTTTCCTTTTTAAGGCCGAATAATATTTCATTGTATGTATATAACACATTTTGCTTCTCCATTTGTCTGTCAATGGACACTTGGGTTGCTTCCATATTTTAACTGTTGTGAACAGCTACGAACATGGGTATACAAATATCCCTTTGAGACCCTGCTCTAAATTCTTTTGGGAGTATATCCAGAAGCAGAATTGCTGGGTCATATGGTAAGTCTATTTTTAATTTTTTGAGGAGCTGCCATACTGTTTTCTATAGTGGCTTTGCCATTTTACATTCCCACCAACAGCTTACAAGGGTTCCAGTTTCCCTCTACATGCTTGGATACTTTTTACGTAGACACAAATTAAACTTCTTTTAGGCCTGGGTTTCTCAACCTTGGCCCTATTGACATTTTAGATTGTATACTTGTTGTGGGTATATATCCTATACATCATAGGCTGTTTTGTAGCATCCCTGGCCAGTAGCACTCCTCCAGTCATGACAATCAAAAATATTTCCAAACATCACCAAATGTTCCCTAGAGTGGGGCAAAATTGACCCAGTTGAGAACCACTGCCTTTAAATAAGCAAAGCCTAATAATTAGGATCTGTGAGGCCCTATCACTGTAATCCTGGAATTAACAGTTTTAGCTTTAATTTACTCTTGACAGTTGAGTTGGCTTTAGTTTCATAGACAATGCAGAGAATCTGATGCACATTTAGAAATGTCTGACTTTGATCAGCCTCTGAAAAAGAACAGAACAAACTAGAAATGTTAGCTTAAAAAGTAGGTTCTTGGTATTATCCATCCACATAAGTTTTAGGTGTAAAAGGATGTACATACACAGGGTATCGACTTGTATTTATGGATTTTAATATATCACAGTTTATAAATATTCAGTATCAACTATGGGAAAATATCATGGCTCCCTTTTATAACTTCCTAATATGATGTATCATGATGTTATGCTAATACTTAGACAGTAGTGTAAAAACTACTTGTAGAACTGAAATGTATGTCATCATTTTAGAAATATCCTCCAATCAGAAACTGAGAAATTAACTTCACATTGCCTCGAGTGGGACAGGAAGCTTGAATTGGACATTCCAGATGATGGTGAGGCAACATTTATATTTTTTGTGTTTGCTTTCTTTTACTATGGTTACGTTTATCTGAAGCATAAAAATATAGCATTGCCTAACTTTATAGTTTCATTATTATTCAAAGTAGCAAGAATTTTTCTTCTTTAACCTGATGTCTACAATAAAGTAGCAAGTGTTTTTCATATCTCAACATATGTTCCCTAACATCCGTGCTGAAATGGTATATAACTTAAAAGATTTAAGAAATTAGAATATTGACTATCATTCCTTTGACTAACCAAGCAAGTAACAGTGAATATTATTAGCTTTTTTAATAAGACTTTATGGGTGATGTCAATATCTGATACTGTTTACACAAAAATATATTCTGAATGAAAATTACCTAAATCAATATGGGAAAGATTTTCTGAAGAGTTCCTTAATCTGATTTATTTGGGGAAGCTGTTTAGAAAAAATTATGTGCTCTCAGTATGAAGTCCTTCTTAGATAATTATTTGCAGTGAGTTGTTTGACTTTTTTTTTTTTTTAATTAATTAATTTAAAATGAGCGTTGCTCTTATTGCCCAGGCTGGAGTGTAGTGGCGCCATTTCGGTTCCCTGCAACTTCTGCCTCCTAGATTCAAGTGATTCTCCTGCCTCAGCCTCCCAGTTGGCTGGGATTATAGGTGCCTGCCACCACGTCCAGCTAATTTTTGTATTTTTAGTAGGGATGGGGTTTCACCACATTGGCCAGGCTGGTCTCGAACTCCTGACCTCAGGTGAGCCACCCACCTCAGCCTCCCAAAGTGCTGGGATTATAGGCATGAGCCACCGTGCCCACAGGTGTGAGCCATCGTGCCCGGCTGACATTGACTTCTTATAAAGTACAAGAAAAAGTAGAATGCTATTTAGTATATAGCAATAGGTATGAGAATATATTGTTAATTTTGAGCGGGAATTGAAGCAAATAGTTAATACTCAGTTATTTGTATGACAAAGTTTTGTGGTAGATATTTTTTGTTTTGCTTTAACAACCTGTAAGCCTTAGGATGTTTGGAGTGAAGTTTTATCACTGGGCTGACTTGCAATGAATGTTCTGTTTTGTCTTTTAATTTTGAAAAACCTCTTATTTCCTTCAGCTAAAGATCTTATTCGCACAGCAGTTGGTCAAACAAGACTCCTTATGAAGGAAAGGTTCAAACAGTTTGAAGGACTGGTTGGTGATTGTGAATATAAACGAGGTGTAAAGGAGACTACCTGTACAGATCTGGATGGATTTTGGGATATGATTAGTTTTCAGGTATGTGGTTCAATATTTTAAATATATTAACTGTGGACTTTTTTTTTTTTTTTTAAGTAGCAGGAGTGAAATGGGGTAATAGTCGCTGCTTAGGTACCTGTAATATGAAATGAGATGTTATAAAGCACCTTTATAAACTGTAAAACATCTAAACTTTATGACTGATGTACTCTTCTCCCATGTATTCTCAGGATAATTTCTATATAGGTTGAAAACTGAAGTTATTTTCAATTCTTGAATAGTCTGTAATGATTCCACCCGTGAGAAATGAATCAACTGGCCTTTGGTAGTTGAGTTCAGCTAGCAGTTACTGAGTTCCTGTTGTGTGCCCATATTGTATTAATCTGTTATTGTATTAGGAGTATTGTATTAGGAGTTGATAAAAGAGTTCATTCCCTATCCCAGAGGAGTTTGTAATTTGATTAGTGACTGAGATACAAAACATAATTCTAATGTAGAAAGTGCTGTGATAAAAGAAATTACTAGGAAGATCCATAAAGGTATGGGGGAAGATGACTCTAGCTTTTTGAACTTAGTTTAGAAATAAGCATATAAAATAGCATTTCAAGAACCAACAGTCAACAATAGACATCGAACCAAGCTTCAAAGCTAAAAGAAAAAGGCCAAAGCAAACATCTAGGAAGAAAGCTATTTGGATGGACTTTTAAATGCAAGTATTCATATTCTCAAAGAGACCAGACATTTCATCTGTCAAGTAAAAATACCTGTTAAAGAACATTCAGAGAATAAATAGCTTTTTGAAGTTAAGCAATATGAGAACAGAAATGTAAGATACAATAGGTAGAATATGAAGTTAAGGAAATCTCAGCCAGGCACAGTGGCTCAAGCCTGTAATCCTAGTACTTTGGGAGGCTGAGGTGGGAGGATCACTTGAGCCCAGGAGTTCACGACCAACCTGCGCAACATAGTGAGAGCCCGTCTCTACAGAAAATAAATTTAGCCAGGTATGTTTGCACATGCCTGTAGTACAAGCTGTAAGACAGAAGAGCTTAGATAAGAAAATTACATGGACCAGTCCAGGAAATATAGCCAAATTATAGAAAGTCCAGAAAAAGAGAACAGAAAAAAAAAAAAACTGGGGAGGAGGTGAACAATGAAGGAGCCCGTTGAGTGTTTAGCACTGAGAATCAGAGTAGACCCACAGCAACTTACATCATTAAATACCGTTATATAACTCTTGGGATAAAGAGGGTAGGCTAAAGCATCCAGGGAAAGAAAACAAATTTTATACAAAGCATCAAGGGTTAGAGTAGCATTGATCTCTCAACAGCAATATTATGAGCTAGAACAATACTCTGAAAATTCTGAGGGAAATTAACTTCTAGCCTGGAGTTCTATTCTGAACCAATCATGTATGAGGGTGGAAAGGCACTTTTCAGACACACAAGATCTCAAAGTTCACCTCCTTCCATGTACCCTTTCTCAGGAAACTGAGAATGTCCCTCACAAAGATGAGGGAGTTACCCAAGAAAAGAGGAGTGGGCTCCATTCCTAGAAAGAGGCAAGACCCTGTCTCAAAAAAACCAAATGAAAACCCTGAGCAAACAAAAGGCAAAACATTTATTAAGTCTAAAGAAAATGTTGTGAGGAAAGAAACGGAATCTCAGCAACTGTATGGCCCAGACATGAATAGTGTTTATGTAGTTATAATTAAGCATTACTTTATGATCAGTTTTTATATATTCACCAGTTTTCATAATAGTTGGTTCACTAGCACCCTTCAATTCTGATTATATGATTCTGTGGCGATTTTTGTATCATTATTAGTTGTGTATTTAAAAGTATGATGTGTTTTCATTGTTTATAGTCTTTTTTTTTTTGAGATAGAGTCTCACTTTGTCACCCGGGCTGGAGAGCGGTGGCGTGATCTTGGCTCACTGTAACCTCTGCCTCCCAGGTTCAAGCAGTTCTCCTGCCCCAGCCTCCCAAGTAACTGGGATTACAGGTGCCCACCACCACGCCGGGCTAATTTTTGTATTTTTAGTAGAGATGGGGTTCACCATGTTGGTCAGGCTTGTCTCAAACTCCTAACCTCAAGTGATCTGCCTGCCTCGGCCTCCAAAGTGCTGGGATTACAGGTGTGAGCCACCACACCAGCCTATAGTCATTATCTTGATCAATGTTCATTTCCCAGCTTTGGCTTAGTGGGAGCCACTTCAAGTTGGGGCACTTTTTTTTTTTTTTTTTAAACACAAAGGAACTATATTAAGGTATAATTTACATATAAAATTTATTCATTTGAAATGTACAGTTCAATCATTTTTAGTAAATTTACAGAGTTGTGCAACCATCACCACAATCCAAATGTAGAACTTTTTTTTTTTTCTGAGATAGAGCTTCACTCTTGTTGCCCAGACTGGAGCACAATGGCGCGATCTCAGTTTACTGCAACCTCCGTCTCCCAGGTTCAAGCGATTCTCCTGCCTCAGTCTCCCAAGTAGTTGGGATTACAGTAATGTGCCACTGCGCCTGGCTAATTTTGTATTTTTAGTAGAGACGGGGTTTCACCATGTTGGTCAGGCTGGTCTTGAACTCGTGACCTCAAGTGATCCACCTGCCTTGGCCTCCCAAAGTGCTAGGATTACAGATGTGAGCCACCACACCCAGTCAGAACATTTTCATCAGTATAAAAAGATCCCTCCTGCCTGTTTGCAGTCAATCCCCATTTCTATTCCTAGACCCAGGCAACCACTAATCTATTTACTGTCTCTGTAGATTTGCCTTTTTTGGGATATTTCATATTAATAGAATCATACACTATGTGGTCTTTTGCATCTGGCTTCTTTCACTTACCATGTTTTTGAGTTTTATCCATATTGTAGCTTGCCCTGTGTTCTTCATGCCTTTTTATTGCTGAGTAGAATTCCACTGTATGGATATATCACTATTTACCAGTTGATGGACATTTAGATTGCTTCCACTTTTTGGTGATTATTAAGAATCTGTGAATATTTCCACACAAATCTTAGTGTAGACATATCTTTTTAAATTTCTCTTAGGCAGATACCTAGATATTGCTAGGTCATATTGTAAATTTATGTTTAACTTTTTAAGAAACTGCCCAAACTATTTTCCAAAGTGATTATACCATTTTCAGTCCCACCAACAATGTATGAGTGTTCTGTTTTTCTATATCCTCACTAATACTTGTTATTGTCAGTCTTTTTTATTATAGTAGTCCCCTCTTATCAGCAGTCTTGCTTTCTGTGGTTTTAGTTACCTGAGGTATAGTACAATAAGATATTTGGCAGGGAGGAGAGACCACATTCACATAACTTATTACAGAATATTGTTATAATTGTTCTATTTTATTGTTGATTATCATTGCTAATCTCTATGCCTAATTTAGAAATGAAACTTTATCGTAGGTATGTATGTATAGAAAAAAACATAGTATATATAGGGTTCAGTACTATCTGCATTTCAGGCATCCCCTCGGAACAGATTCCTTGAAGATAAGGGGGAACTGTTGCATAGCCATCCTAGTGGGTATGAGGTATCTCATTGTAGGGTTTTTTGTTTTTTGTTTGTTTTTTGAGTCGGTCTCACTCTGTCACCTAGGCAGGAGTGCATTGGCACAATCTCACCTCACTGCGACCTCCAATTCCTGGGCTCAAACAACCCTCCTGCTTCAGCCTCCCAAGTAGCTGAGACTACAGGCATGTGCCACCATGATTGACTAATTTTTGTATTTTTTTGTAGAGGTAGGGTCTCACCATGTTACCCAGGTGCCCAGGTCTTACTCCTGAGCTCAAGCAATCCACCCTCCTCTGCCTCCCAAAGTGCTCGGATTACAGGTGTCACCATGCCTGACCTCATTGTAGTTTTGATTTGAATTTCTCTAATGAGTAATGATATTAAGTATCTTTTTGTGAGCTTATTCACCATTCATGTATCTTCTACTGAAATGTCTGTGTAAATCTTTTACACCCATTTTTAAATTTGATTGTCTTTATTATTGTTTTAAGTATTCTTTATATATTCTGGATACAAGTCCCTTATGAGAAATATTATTTGCAAATATTCTTTGAGTTTATAGCTCGACTTTTAATCCTCTTAATGGTATCTTTTGAGTTGCCATTTTTTTTGTTGTTGTTGTTAAAGTTAAATTTTTCGAATTTTTTCTTTTCTTTTCTTTTTTTTTTTTTTTTTTGAGATGGAGTCTTACTCTGTCACCCAGGCTGGAGTGCAATGGTGTGATCTCGGCTCACTGCAGCCTCTGCCTTCCAGGTTCAAGCAATTCTCATGCCTCAGCCTCCCAGGTAGCTGGGATTACAGGCATATGCCACCATGCCCGGCTAATTTTTATATTTTTAGTAGAAATGGGATTTCACCATGTTGGCCGAGCTGGTCTTGAACTCTTGACCTCAACTGATCCACCTGCCTTGGCCTCCCAAAGTGCTGGGATTACAGGGGTGCGCCACTGCATCCGGCCAGATTTTTTTTTTCTTTTATGTTGTGATTTTGACACCATGTCTAAGAACTCTTACCTAACCACGAGTCATAAAGATTTTCTCCTGCGTTTTTTTCTAACAGTCTTATGATTTTAGTACTTACAGTTCAGTCTATGATTCATTTGGTTAGTTTTTGTATATGGTACGAGATTGTGAGTCTAAATTCGTCTTTTTGCTTGTGGATAACCAATTTTCCAAGCACTGCTGGTTGAAAAGACTGTCTTTTCCCCATTGAATTGTATTGGCATCTTTGTTGAAAATCAGTTGGTCATGAGTGTAAATCTGAGTCATTTTGACATTTACTTTTTTTTTTTTTTCCCCTTTGAGATGGGGTCTCACTTGTTGCCCAGGCTAGTCTTGACCTTCTGGGTTCAAGCAATCCCCCTGCCTCACCCTCCCAAGTAGCTTGGATTATAGGCATGTGCCACAGTGCCTACAGACATTTACATATTTTTAAGGGAGAGCAAAGCTGAGAGGATGTGTGTGTATAAGTGCATGACGTGGAAACTCAAAGCATGGTTACCAAACTGTTGACAGTAACTAACTCTTTGTAGGAGACTGGAAGTATCAGAAAGATGGAGATTATATTTCCATCCTATTAAATATACTTGTATCTTTTAAAATGAGATTATGTCAAGAAAATGGGAAATGGCACAGATTGGGAGAAAATATTTGCAAAAGATGTATCTGATAAGACTATTATTCAAAAGATACAAAGAGCTCTTAAAACCCAGGAATAAGGAAATGAACAACTCAATTAAAAATGGGCAAAAGACCTGAACTGTTAACTCACCATGGAAGATATACAGATGGCAAATACGCATATGAAAAGATGCTCAACATCATATGTCATTAGGGAACTACAAATCAAAACAACAGATACTACCACATACCTACTAGGGAACAGTGAAAATTTAAAACACTGCCAACAGCAAATGCTGGGGAGGGTATGGAGCAATACGAACTTTCCATTCATTGCCTATGGGAATGCAAAATGTTATATCCACTTTAGAAGACAGTTTGGCAGTCACTTGCAAAACTAAACATACTCCTACCATACGATCCAGCAATTGCGCTCCAAATGAGTTGAAAACTTATGTCCATATAAAAACCTGCACACGGATGTTTTTAGCAGTATAGCAGCTTTATTCATAATTGCCAAAACATGGAAGCAACCAAGATGTCCTTCAGTGGAGGAATGGATAAATAAAAAGAAATTGGATTGTGTTCACATTGTGTAATTAAGAAACAAAAACATTTAGGATGTATTTTCTACCATTTTAGCATTTTAGTAAAAAATAATCTAGGAGAGTTATTCATATATGATATTCTTTATGTAGATTTTGGAGGTTTGTAAGACGAAAGATAATGAAAAACTTTACCATAAAAATTCTTGATTTGAACACTAAATTGAGAATGACTCAGTCCAGTTTTAATAACTGGACTTAATAACTGGCGATTTCTGAATCGCCATTTTTATTTTTTAGTCTTCAACTCAGTTTATAACTTTAATATGGCTATCATTAATCTGTTAAATTTGTGCTTTATTTATTAACAGATAGAAGATGTAATCCACAAATTCAACAATCTGATCAAACTTGAGGAATCTGGGTGGCAAGTCAATAATAATATGAATAATAATATGAACAAAAATGTCTTTAGGGTAAGTTTGTGGGTTTTATATCCGAATTTTTTTTTTCTAGTTAAGGAACTGTTCTACATACATCCAGATTTCTAATATAGATTCTTCTATTTGTTGTTTTTAAGTTTTAAAAACATTTAACTTCAGATTTCTCATCATTTTACAAAGTTAAGTCTGTATATTGCTTACAGTGTATTGATTGCCGTTGAAGAAAGAGCAAGCAAATCGATCAACATAAAATTTAGGATAGTTATGTCTAGAGAGAAGGAGGGGCTGTGATTGAATTGGGGTACCCAGAGGGCTTCTAAGTTACCACATAGTGATATATGAGTGTTGGTTTTATTCTTTAAACTGTACTTACACATTTTGTTATAGTAGTAGTAGGTAATTTATATAATGCTTAGTATGTGCCAAATATTCCAAGTACTTTATATATATTAACTTAATTCTTACAACAGTTATATGAAATGGAAGCTGTTATCCTTGTTGCTTTGTTAACATGATAGATTTTGTTCTTATTTGTTTCTAGTAATTCTCTTTCTAGTAATGTTTTTGAATTCAAAGTTTTTGGTTTGGGTGGACACTTTTCAAACTAAGCGTTCAGTTTTTTTTGTGATATGAGAAAAATGCTTGTAGTTATAAATTCAGCTTGTCTAGATTGGTATTTTATTATACTATGTAATCCAAATAAAAACTCTCTTGAATCCTATCTTAGGAGTTTAACTTGTTAAAGTGTTTTTTTTTTTAAAACCTTATGTTTAAACTTTTTTTTTTTTTTTTTTGAGACAGTTTCGCTCTTGTTGCACAGGCTGTAGTGCAGTGGCATGACCTTGGTTCACCACAACCTCTACCTCCTGAGTTCAAGTGATTCTCCTGCCTCAGCCTCCAAAGTGCTGGGATTACAGGCATAAGCCACTGTGCTCGGCCTTAAAAAATATTTTACTAGGCCAGGCGCAGTGGCTCACATCTGTAATCCCAGCACTTTGGGCAGCTGAGGTGGGCAGATCACCTGAGGTTTGGAGTTCAAGACCAGCTTGACCATCACGGAGAAACCCTGTCTCTACCAAAAATACAAAAATTAGCTGGGCAAGGTGGCTCATGCCTATAATCCCAGCAACTCGGGAGGCTGAGGCAGGAGAATCGCTTGACCCTGGGAGGCGGAGGTTGTGGTGAGCTGAGATCACACCGTTGCACTCCAGTCTGGGCAACGAGCAAAACTCTGTCTCAAAAAAATTTTTTTTTACTAATAAAGTCTCACGACAAGGACCCTGAGGACAGTAACTACATTGATGGAATGGATTTCAAAACTATAAATAGTGAAGGATGCTACTTCATTATTAAAGCTACTGTGGGCATTTCTTATTAAGGATTTAGTCCTGGAAATATTAATATCATCAGTGATGCAGATCATGGCTGTGTCCTAGAGAGATTTGTAATTCTGCCTGTTATCACCAGGTGTCTCTCTCCTACTTTATTTTATAGGCTACTGTTAAGATAATCAAACAAAGTAAAGCTAATCTTTTATACTATACTTGGATACCACTCCCTACTACCTCTTATTTATTAATCCCTCATTCCATCAGTTAGTCTTGTTTTCCCTTCCCCCTTTTTTCCATCAGTTTTTAAACATGTTTAAGTGTCTTATCATTGTTTACATTAAAACAAAGAAACCTGTGGTGTCTGCTTCTCCCTTTAATTGCTTGTATACCCCATTTTTCTTTCTTCCCAGTCACTGACAAGCTGACTGTTGTCTATACTCAATTATTTTTGTTCCTTTATTTCTCAAACTCATTGCAATTCAGTTTTACCTCCTCTATAACTTTAGAATAGTTATATAAATTATTAATCCACTAGTTGCTTAAGTTATTAGGTACTTAATTTTAAAATCTAACCTTTCTAGGCCAGGCGTGGTGGCTCAAGCCTGTAATCCCAGCACTTTGGGAGGCTGAGGGAGGCAGATCACCTGAGGTCAGTTCGAGATTAGCCTGGCCAACATGGTGAAACCCTGTCTCTACTAAAAATAAAAAATTAGCCAGGCATGGTGGCGGGCGCCAATAATCCCAGCTACTCAGGAGTTTGAGGTAGGAGAATCACTTGAACCCAGGAGGCACAGGGTATGGTGAACCGAGATCATGCCACTGCACTTCAGCCTGGGCGACAGATCAAGACTCTGTCTCAAAAATAAAATAAATAAGTAAATAAATAAATCTAACCTTTCTGCAGTATTAAATATGGTCTACTTTTTTGAGATAGTCTTGCTGTGTTGCCCAGGCTGGAGTACAGTAGCGCCATCTCGACTCACTGCAACCTCTGCCTCCCAGGTTCAAGCTATCTCCCATCTCAGCCTCCTGAGTAGCTGGGACTACAGGCATGTGCCACCATGCCCAGCTAATTTTTTGTATTTTTAGTGGAGCTGGTGTTTCTCTATGTTGGCCAGGCTGGTCTGGAACTCCTGTCCTCAAGTGATCCACCCGCCTCAGCCTCCCAAAGTGCTGGGATTACAGGCGTGAGTCACCACACCTGACCTACTTCCTTGTTTTTGAAATTATATTTCCTTTCTACTTCTTTGTCTATTCTTCAGTCATGTTTGCATATTCGTTTTCCATTTATCCCTTAAATGTTTTTGATACTTAGAATTCCTACCTCTACTCTCTTCTTTCCTTCCATAATTTTTCTGTGCAATCTTACCCAACCTGTGATGATTCCCAAGTCTGTATTGCAGACCATACTTACTAAGCTCTAATTCTGTATATCATGACTCAATATACCTTAAAAATCAATATATCCCAAACTGACAGCATCTCCACACACACCAATGTTGCCCTGTCTCATAATGCTGTTACCATCCCACCAGGTGTTCAAGATAGAAGTCTCAGTATCTCTTTTGGTCCTTTGCTTTCTTTATTTCACCATCTCCACCCCACAGACATCCAATAGATGAGTAAGTCCTCTCAATTCTACCTTTCAAATATCTGTTGAATCTATCCACTTTTTTCATCTCTTACTCCTTAGTCTGAGTGATCTTTCTAAAACACCAGCTTGATAATGTTAATCTTCTGCTTAAAAATCACTAATAACTCTCTATTCCTTTGTCCTTTGTGTAAATGTGATTTTCTTAAAACTTACATGTAGGTGATTTTATAATCTAGCTATTGTTTAACTCCACTTTGCTTTCTTTCATTTCTGGCTTTGGAAACATCTCTCTAGCCCTTGCCTCACCCCATCTTTTAGTTTGATGAAATGTGGTTTCAGCATAGGTGCTACTTCCTACAACCTTTCCTGATGTCTAAAGATTGGTTTAGATGTCATCCTTATTTATTTTCTTTTAATGTTTTACTTTTTTTCTTTCTTTACTTTTTTTTTTTGTTGTTTTTTCTTTTTTTTTTTTTTTGGAGGGGGGTGTCATGGTTATAATCTGAAGGATGCCCCTACATTTATTTCTAATGGGAGATTTATCCTTCTTACTTTACTTCCCAGATCTTCCACTAAGCTGCAAACTCCTTGAGGGCAGCCACTGTGTCCTTTACCTTTTCACCCTTTTACCACATACTAGGAACTTGATAAATACATGATGAATGTGAAATATTTTATGTATACTTTATTTTTAAAAATTAAATTTTTAAGTGATAATTTGTGTTTGTTGTGTGTTTTTCTTATAAGATGGTAATGGGCAGCTTTACTATATGTCAGTTTCTCTTTGCAGAAAAAAGTTGTCTCAGGTATAGCGAGTAAACCAAAACAGGATGATGCTGGAAGAATTGCAGCGAGAAATCGCCTAGCTGCCATAAAAAATGCAATGAGAGAGAGAATTAAGCAGGAAGAACATGCTGAAACAGCAGCCTCTGTGATACCAAAAGAAGTTGATAAAATAGTATTTGATGCTGGATTTTTCAGAGTTGAAAGTCCTATTAAAGCATTCTCAGGTTAGTTGTTTTTGGTTTTTTTGGTTGTTGTTGTTTTTTCCTGAGACTACTTAAGAGAAATATTTGGGATAGATGGGGGCTTGTGTAAGGTGAAAAATAGTTTTTACATTAAGAGACGTAAGTTTTTCTGTGATTTTTAGAAAATAGACTACGCTCACTCACAAACACATGTAAATCACATTTTGATGGGTATGATCAGATTAGTTTAAGTGCGATATGTCTTCTAAGATTGCTTTTCTACTTTCTAAGTAATTTCACATCTGTAATGTAATTATCATGTAACCCTACAGTCTGTGAGAAAGGTCACAGGATCCCAAGAGGTAAGAGAAGTGACAGAAGCATGAAGAAGTAAAGTGATTTCCTTCAGGTCAGTTAGAAGTTTGGTTAGAGTTTAAACTGCAAAGGAAACTTGAGCATCCAGCTATCACAATTCTCTAGCTGTGCTTTAAAATGAAGCTTATGTGCTGTGTGTGTTGGTTCATGCCTATAATCCCAGTACTTTGAGAGACCAAGGCAGGAGGATCATTTGAAGCTAAGAGTTTGAGACCAGCCTGGGCAATTTAGTGAGAGCCCCTCTCTACAAAAAAATAAAAAATTAACCGAGCCTGGCGGTACATGCCTGTAGTCCCACATACTCGGGAGGCGGGGGCAGGAGGATCACTTGAGCCCAGGAGTTCAAGGTTACAGCGAGTTATGATTGTGCCCCTGCACTCTAGCCTCAGTGACAGAGCAAGAGTCTATCTCTAAAAACAGAAGGAAGTTTATGCAAAGTGGGTTTGGTTTTGTTTGCATTTGTATTAAAACTTTTGCTCAAATCTTTTTGAGAGGCAATAAATGTACTAATTTTCTAATTTAAAAATATTCCAGTAAAAGCAGTTTTTAATACTTTAGGAAATCATTTTTTATGACTTTCTAATTGTATTTATCAATAGCTTTTTTTCACAGACTATTTTTCTTGAATTGAATTTATCTCAATTGAAATTATTTATAAGCCATAGATGTCCACCAGGAAGTTTTTTCAAAATAAACCTAAATTGTTCTCTAATACCTGCTATCTGATATTTACAGTGATCCTCAAGTATATTATAACTTTCTTGTTGGTTTAGGTGTCAAATCTGTTGCACTTTTGTTTGTTTCCTTAAGCAGCTATACTCCCTGGATACCCAGGAATCTCTCACTGCTGCTAATAACGTGGCCCCATTCTACTACCTGTCAAGGATCTTCGTGGTTTTTACAGCCATGAGCTCATCATTCTGTTCTTTCGCATACTCAACTCAGTCCTTATAGATAGGGAGATTAAGGTTTATGGCAAAAATTGGTCTTTTAAAATTGTTACAGAACACATAGTTTATATGAGGCTAATTACAAAACAGTAGTCCCTGAGGAAGCCCTTTTTCATTCCATTTGCCAGCCCCTAGAAGCAACTACTTTCAATTCTTACTGGAGTCTTTTGTTGTTAACCACCATCTCTCTTGACAAGGTTTGATCTTTTTTGAAAACACATTTTTCTTCTGGTAGACTTTTTAATCTTTCTTTCATGTACTTACTGTTTTCTTCTATTTCCTGGAGATTTCCTCAATTTTCATGCTGGCTATCATGTTTTTAATTCCCAAGAGCCCTTTCTTACTCTCCAAATGTTCATTTTATAGCATTCTGCACTTGTTTCATAAGTGCATTGTTTTATCTTTCCAAGGATATTAATGATAGCTTTTATGTGTTCTTCATCCACTATAGACAGTGTTTGTTTCAGGGTACTTTCGTCTAGTTGTTTTTGGTTTCTGTCTCTTATATTAGAGGCTTTCCTCAGGAATCTGGTAATCTTTCACTGCCTGCACATGGTTAAGAATAGGGCACTAAAAAGCTGACTGGAAACTCTCTGCACATGGGTAGGACCTTTACTGTGGGGGCCCTACTGTTAGCAGGGCCATTATGCTGGGAACCTACACGTCACTGCATTTAAGACTTTTCTCATAGTCTACTCAGATTCCCCAGAGAAGATGCTTTCCATCTGCTTCCTGGAAGGTATCATTCTGGCTGCCAGTCTTTCAGGGGCCATGTGGGGGAAGAAAGCTAAGTGTCTCAACATTTTATGTGTAAATATTCACTTATTTCCCTTATTTTCCATGCAGTACCCTGTCTCTCAACTGTATCTGGTATCCTCTAAACTAGAGACCCTTCTGTTTTTGGTGATGGGGGTGGGTAATGACAGTTGCTTTGCTGTGCAGAATGAGGAAAGGATTCTGAGCTCTCCTTGTTTAAACTGACTTTGAGCCATTCCTTCTGTGTTTAGCTCCATTTTCATCTCCACTTGCAAAGGTACTTAGAGCCACCAGTTATTTTGAGGGGTTATGTGCTAGAAATTGGATTGATTCTCTTTTTTCTTGATTGGTGGCTTAGAATTTGTTTTCTTGAGTCTAAGTCCCACTCAACAATCTACATTATAGCTTCCAAAATGTTGTTATTGTTGCTGTCTCTTCTTTAGTTTCCTTTGTCCTTGTAGAGTTCTGCTTTTTAAGGTTATCTCTGGCCAGGCACGGTGGCTCACACCTGTAATCCCAGTACTTTGGGAGGCTGAGGCGGATGGATCACCTGAGGTCAGGAGTTCGAGACGAGCCTGACCAACATGGTGAATGAAACCTCTCTACTAAAAATACAAAAAATTAGCCAGGCGTGGTGGCAGGTGCCTGTAATCCCAGCTACTCGGGAGGCTGAGACAGGAGAATTGCTTGAATCCAGGAGGCGGAGGTTGCAGTGAGCCAAGATCGTGCCATTGCACTCCAGCCTGGGCGACAGGAATGAAACTCTATCTCCAAAAAAAAAAAAAAAATTCTCTCTGTTCAGGCCCGGCGCAGTGGGTCACACCTATAATCCCAGCACTTTGGGAGTCCGAGGCAGGTGGATCACCTGAGGTCAGGAGTTCAAGATCAGCCTGGCCAACATGGCGAAACCTCATCTCTACTAAAAATACAAAAATTAGCCAGTCATGGTGGCATGCATCTGTAGTCCCAGCTGCTGGGCAGACTGAGACAGGAGAATCACTTGAAGCTGGGAGGCAGAGGTTGCAGTGAGCCGAGAGATCACACCACTGCACTCTAGCCTGTCCAGCCGGGGTGACAGAGTGAGACTCTGTCTCAACAACAACAACAAAAAAATTATCTCTGTTCATGTAAAAGTAGTGGGATGTCAAATGGAAGCAGCATCTGATATGCGTTTCAATACTGTCTTAAACAGAAAGTCCCAGGCATTTGTCTTTAACAGACATTATTTGACAGGAGAAAGAGGCTGATAGGATTTTCAGTGTATTCCTAGTTATGAAAAGTAAAAGAACTATTTGGTATTGAGGTGATTTCTCTCATCTTCTAGGAATTTCTGTCTCTTCTGAAGGCCCTTCTCAAAGACTTAGAACACCTAAGTCTGTCAGCAAAGCTGTATCTCAGAGTAGAAGTGAGATGGGCCTTCCACAACAAACAATGTCACCAGAAAGTGCGGGTCCTCAGAATACTAAAAGTGAACATGTGAAGAAGACTTTGTTTTTGAATATTCCTGAAAGCAGGTATTTCTTTAACATGTTAATAAGAGTTTAACAGTTGCTGATATTAAATGCCATTTCAGATTGTTAAGATGGTAAAAGGTACCAGACATACATTGTTAATAAATTTCATAATGACTCTGCAACATATAGGCAGTACTCCCTTTTTATAAATGAGAAAACTAAAGCTTAAGATTTCAGGATACTAAATGGTTACATTTAGATCGGTAAATTCTGTGGCACTAAGAAGAAAAGAAGCAATATGGTATCCTTTGGTGCTAAACGTACTGCTCAACAGTTCTGAGCTGAGAAGAGCTCTGTGACTTACTAGCTATGCAACTTTGGGGCGAATAATCAATTCTCTTTAGCTTCACTTTCATCATCTACAAAGCAGCAATGCTAATGCCTCCCCAAGGTGGTTGAGAGATAGACACTTTTTACCTGCCTTTGTAGAAAGTACCTTGAGATTGTTGTCTTGACAGATGGCAGAGCATGTTGAAAGGGGAGTTAATGTGTACTGAACAATTATTATTGGCTAGATATGATTCTAGGTTTTGTTTGTTTTTTGGAGGCTGCGTGTCACTCTGTTACCTAGGCTGGAGTGCAGTGGTACGATCTCAGCTCACTGCAACCTCTGCCTCCCAGGTTCAAGCGATTCTTCTGCCTCAGCCTCCCAAGTAGCTAGGACTACAGGCACGTGCCACCATGCCCAGCTAATTTTTCTATTTTTAGTAGAGACAGGGTTTCACCATGTTAGCCAGGATGGTGTCGATCTCTTGACCTCATGATCTGCCAGCCTTGGCCTCCCAAAGTGCTGGAATTACAGGCATGAGCCACCGCGCCCGGCCTACTTTGTATATCTTGTAGTTTACTATTGTTTGCTAATAAGCTTCATAATTGCATTTGAGTCATATTATAAGTACCCCCTTTTTTTTTTTTTTTTTTTTTGAGACGGAGTCTGGCTCTGTCGCCCAGGCTGGAGTGCAGTGGCCGGATCTCAGCTCACTGCAAGCTCTGCCTCCCGGGTTTACGCCATTCTCCTGCCTCAGCCTCCGGAGTAGCTGGGACTACAGGCGCCCACCACCTCGCCTGGCTAGTTTTTTGTATTTTTTTTTTTAGTAGAGATGGGGGTTTCACCGTGTTAGCCAGGATGGCCTCGATCTCCTGACCTCGTGATCCACCCATCTCGGCCTCCCAAAGTGCTGGGATTACAGGCTTGAGCCACCGCGTCCGGCCATAAGTACTCTTCAAAAATGTTTTGGATTCCCCAAAACGCCCTCAAAGGGCATCATACAAATAAGCAACTTTGTGCAATAAAGGCAAAGTAAAGCTGGACACTAGAAAAATAGAGCATATCTTTTTTAAAAAGTAACTTGGAAGAAATGGAGATAGATTTTTTTTTTTTTTTTTTTTGGAGGCAGAGTGTCACTCTGTTGCCGAGGCTGGAGTGCAGTGGCACGATCTTGGCTCGCTGCAACCTCCACCTCCCAGGTTCAAGTGATTCTCCTGCCTCAGCCTCCCAAGTAGCTGGGACTACATGCACGTGTCACCACGCTCAGCTAATTTTTTGTAGTTTTAGTAGAGACGGGGTTTCACCATGTTAGCCAGGATGGTCTCAATCTCCTGACCTCATGATCCACCTGCCACGGCCTCCCAAAGTGCTGGGATTACAGGCATGAGCCAAGGCGCCTGGCCAAGACAGGTCTTTCTAATAAGATACAAGCTAGTAACTTCAGGATTAGAATACCTTGTATTCTAACTCAATTATTGCCTAGCTGGAGTTAGCTACATTTACTTGTTAACAAGCAACAGACTTAAGAACATTGTAACTCCTGTTCTGCTTTTTGAACAATTAGTTCAGATAAAATTATAGAAATAGTATGATTGAAGGCAAGTTTCTTAGCAGGTACCTTTACTCCAGCTCATGGATTAACAAGTAACAAGTAAATGTAGCTAACTCCAGCTAGACAATAATTGAGTTGTTGCTTCTGTCTCCAGAAGTCACCTTCCTTTTGACTTTTTTTTAGTATATAGCTCTGGATTTGGCTGAGATTCAGAGTATTGCTGGTAGAGCCACCTGAGCCTGACTGACCACCATGGTAACAGACTTGTGAGCTTCCTGCAGAAGAATGCATTTAGTTTATAAGGCCATCCCACAGTAGCTGTAGTCCAAAACTAATCTATCTGGATCAGGCCTGATCTTGCGCCAGGCTCCATGTTTGATCCATTCCCTAAATTAATTGCCATTATAAAGGATGGACTCAAAACACAAGTGAAACAATAACAATATGTTTAATTATGAGTGTAATGCTGTTTTTTTTTTTCTTCTTTAGGAACAGCATAGTGGAAGATGCTCAGTGTCCTGGATTACCAGATTTAATTGAAGAAAACCATGTAAGTACAATTCCAGTGTGGTTAGATAGCCCCCAGTATGTCATATGTTTATGTCATTATAGAATGTAACTTCATAACCCATCCCCAAAATTTCCATTGGAAATCTAAATCAGTCATATAGAATGGTGGTTCTTGTTTCAATGACATTTGGGTCATTTAAAACTATAGTGTCATTTTGTATTCTTCAACTCATATCAGGATGAATATGGAACCAGTGAACTGGAGCAGAGATCAGCAAACTTTGGCCCCTATTTTTACAAATCATATTTTATTGCCATAGCCACATATTTGTTTATGTATTCTATCTGGCTGCTTTTGCAATACAGTGGTAGAGTTGAGTACTTATCACAGAGACCCTGTGGCTCACAAACCTAAAATATTTACTATTTGGTCCTTTACAGAAAATGTTTGCCAGTCCCTGAGCTACAGTATAGGTACTTGCTGAGAAACTTGCCTTCAATCATACTATTTCTATATTATCTGAACTAATTGTTGAAGAAGCAGGATAGTAGGATTTATAATGTTCTTAAGCCTGTGTCCAGGATGTCATCCTTCTGTTTTTCTTACATTTAATAGCAACAAGACTTTTAAAATTTGTTCCAAGTAATTGATAATTAAATTTAATGCCATTTTTACTTCTAGGATGTAAATAAGACAAACTTGAAGGTGGATTGTTTACCCAGTGAGGGAATGAGTTTGCCTCTTCTTGCTGGTGGAGTAGCAGATGATATTAATACTAACAAAAAAGAAGGAATTTCAGATGTTGTGGAAGGAATGGAACTGAATTCTTCAATTACATCACAGGATGTTTTGATGAGTAGCCCTGAAAAAAATACAGCTTCACAAAATAGCATCTTAGAAGAAGGGGAAACTAAAATTTCTCAGTCAGGTGAGATATTTAAAATATATTTAAATGAGCCTTTATTAAAGAAATGAACTTGGATTAAGGTATAAATTATCCTATAAGGTCCATTTTACATTAGAGCTAACTATTTAGGAACCTTCACTGTTAGTGAAGACCATGAATTAGAAAAATTCCCTCAAGCTTTTTTTTTTTTTGAGACAAAATCTCACTCTGTCGCCCAGACCTGGAGTGCAGTCGCGTGATCTCAGCTCACTGTAACCTCCGCTTCCTAGGTTGAAGCGATTCTCCTGCCTCAGCCTCCCCACGTGCCACTGCACCTGGCTATTTTTGTATTTTTAGTAGAGAGTTTCACCACATTGGTCAGACTGGGCTTTTTTTCAGTTCTCCTTCTTTTCAACACATATCCCCAAGTCTTTCTTCAAAATATCCTATTTTTCTTCCCTACTGCCTAGTTCTACCTATATTGTTGTGATGGTTCTGCAATAGGAAATGGCTCCTGTATTTTTGTTATAATGTGTGCCAGTTCCACCTGCTATCTTCATCAGTTACTCTGTAGCTGATCTAACTGGGGCCTATGGTAAAACGAAAGGTTATAACCTTGGCCAGACATTTAATGTCTTCCAGCTGTTCTTCATCAGCATCTTCTGGGTACTTTTAATATTACAAGTATGAGATTTGTTTACAGAAGACTCCTTTTATACCAAAGTTAAGGATAAGAATTTAACCAAGAAATGTAACTACTTTCAAAAAGTATAGCATAAAATGGTCTATATTTTTGTCTTAGCATTTGATATATGGAACTTTTCATATTTTTCAAGGTTTTGTCCATTTCTAAGACCCTCGAACGTGAGAATATTCTTTAAAAAGTTAATTTTTTTTGTTGTTTTTCAGTACTATTTGATAAAAGTCTCACTACTGAATGCCACCTTCTTGATTCGGTAAGTTTTCCAACTTAATTTGACAGGTCCCTTTATACTCTAGATTTGTTTTATAAAATGAATATTGCTTTTCTATTTGTGTACAAGGCTTAAAATGTATATCTTGTCATTGTTTTGCTTACTCACTATTTTTCACAGAATGAAGAAAAAATTTGGTGTTTATATACTTTAAAATATAATATGTTTTAATATTAAACCCTGAAGATATGTTTCTCTATGTGGTTTTTCTATCAAATTTGCTCTGATAAACTGGATACTTGAATGTCTGAATATATTTCTAGGTGATTCAAGAAAAATATAAGGCAGTTTCTGCCCTTCTGGGGAAATAATGTCTATCCCACCTTCAGTCGTCATTGGTTATTTATGTCCTGCTATTTTAAGTGACTACTTCCCTGCTTTTACTTCTGGTGACCTCTTGCCTCTAAATCTAGTTCAGACAGCCCTTTTGTGAAGCATTCTGTAAAAGCTCTTATCTCTCCCATGTTAATTTATATATAGCTACAGATGCACATAGGCATACAGTGTTTACATTTCATCTCTTATTCAGGGTATAATATGAATGCATTCCAAAAATATAACTTCAGGAATCCAATTCCTTATTAACTGTAAATTCCACATTAAGTAGAGCTGTCCGATTCATACCTTTGATATGGCACGAATTAAAAGTGCTCTCTTTCCTGCTGTTTATATATAGCATTGGTTTCAGCCCCATCCCAGACATTTTTTTGTTTTGTTTTGTTTTGTTTTGTTTTGTTTTGTTGTTTGCAGACAGAGTTTCACTCTTGCACCCAGGCTGGAGTGCAATGGTGTGATCTTGGCTCACTGCAACCTCTGCCTCCCGGGTTCAAGCAGTTCTCCTGCCTCAGCCTCCCGAGTAGCTGGGATTACAGGTGCCTGCTACCATGCCTGGCTAATTTTTGTATTTTTTAGTAGAGATGCGGGGTTTCACCATGTTGGCCAGGCTTGTCTTGAACTCCTGACCTCAGGTGAGCCACTGTGCCTGGCCGATATTTTTATTTCAAAGATCTGGAGTAGGGATTTGTCATTTTTTTCTTCATCAGTGATTCTTATGGTTTACACCTCTGGTTTACAGCCTTACCTTGGAATTTTCCAGGACTAACTACTACAGTAGATCAGAAAAGGGCCTTGGTTTTATCTTCTTTAATCTCAGAATGTAAGAAATTCATTCATAAAGCAAACATAGGATCAAACAACCACAGTTTTTGGTTAACGTCATGAAACCTGGCAAATACTTAGCTTCCATAAGCCATGAATTCCTTAAAGACCCTTGTGTATCTTGGCTTTCATTATTTTTCAAAGCTGCCTTTTTTGTGGTCAGGCCCTGGGCTGTCCTGTGTCTCAGGAGCAGAATAAAATGTGTTACTGTGACCTGCATACCATTCTTTCTTGGTTTTAGCCTTCTTTAATCATACACTGAGACCTAGAGGATCAGGGCTTTTAGAATAAGGCCAACTTATGTAAACCTGATTTAACCCTGTTCCCAGATCAAACTCTGAATGATTGATTCTGAGAATATATGTTGTTATAAGTAAATCCAGAGATTACCAAATCATAATATTTTAGTATATTAGTAATGTGATTAAAAGTACATCACAATTATGTTTTCTCATTGATAGATCTTAGTACCTTATCATTTAGTCTGATTTTTTTCACTTCTGTAAATATTAATATTTAGATGTCTATTTTAGACCCAAATTATTGCTTGCCCCAGTAGCATAATTTGAACTTGAAGCAGGGCTTGAGGGAGTAAAAAGATCCCAGCAGGATCACACAGTAGTAAAAGGGCTATTAAGTGCTATTATATGGTTTAGGATTTATGGAATCTGTGTAAGTGGCTTAAGATATGGCCTCAGTTTTATTCATTCTGCATACACTGGTTGAGTCCATTTACATATTATTCACATTTTTATACATATATTCTGAATATACCTTTCCAATTTAAAAAAACCTAATATACATTTGAAATAAGATCTGCTGGAAAGTAGCATAATCATTGTTGTTTATAATTTTATTGTTATATAGGGAAAATATTTACATGTTTCTTTTTGTTTGTTTTTGAGATGGGATCTTGCTATGTTGCTCGGGCTGGTCTTGAAGTCCTGGGTTCAAGTGATCCTACCACCTCAGCCTCCCGAGTAGCTGGGACTACAGGTGTGCACCACCGCACCCGGTTTATTTATGTTATTTATTAATTTACTATAGCAATGTTGAAGAATTACTTGGTGAAACTCGTGATGGATACTTTACTGACTTCTCTGGATTTGTTCTCCAGCCAGGTCTACAGTGCAGTAATCCATTTACTCAGCTGGAGAGGAGACATCAAGAGCATGCCAGACACATTTCTTTTGGTGGTAACCTGATTACTTTTTCACCTCTACAAGGAGAATTTTGAATTTAAAAATAAATCCATTTTCCTTCACATTATCAATGCTTATATATTCTTTAGACTATTGAAATTTTGGAGAAAATGTATTTGTGTTCACTTCTATAGTATCATATAATGTTTTAATACTCTGTTCATCAAAGTGTATTTTAGATATACTCTTTCTCAAGGGAAGTGGGGATATTTTGTACATTTTCAACACAGAATAAAAAATATACTGTGCCTTGCCTCTCTTATTTGAAAGGAATAAGCTTAAGGCTAAGTATACTTAGCGCTTATAAACATTCTTTAGTTTAATTGAAATATTAACCTGTGACAGAAGTATTTGCATCTTTTTATACTTTATTCTTAGTTTGAAATCCTAAATTTGTTGACATTGAACAGCTTTGGGTATTACATTTTTCCATGGTATTCTGAGTTCCTTTACATGAGCTTTCTGGATTCCGAAGTCAGTTTGACATGCTGCGGTTTCAAACAGTTCAATCATTAGAGGTACCCATTAAGTCCTTGCCTTTTTGTTTTCATTTTCGCATTGGCATGCCCAAGAGACATTGAGGAGATGCTTTTTACTTTTGAAAAAAATCGTATCAATCATATATCAGTCACATGAACATTTAAAAAACTGGTACAAAGAAACCCAAGATTTATAGTTAATACAAAGCAATATGCGACACAACAATATTTTGCTCTCAAAAATAAAGCAGATCAGAATAAGACAATGTCAGTAAATGTGATCTTTAATAAGATGTATCACTGAGTTGTTTAGAAAGCTTTCAGCTGTTCATGGCCCTGGGCCATTAGAAAACCCTAGTTTATGTATATTTCTTTTTCCTACATGGCTTGTTTGAATTACTCAAACAAGGAATGGACTCGAACTGGCTTAACAGTAAGGAAATTTATTATTTCACAAGTTATCAAAGTGATTCCAGGTACTTTATAATCAATAGCTCAGTGATCACATCAAGGTCCAACTTTCTATTCCTAGTTCATTCTGTTATCCTTGATGTCGGCTTCTCCTCTATGGCTGGGTCTTTTTGGGGTCATAAGATGGCTGCTATTGGCAATTAGAGTTATGTCCTTCCCTTTGGCCTGATTAGACCAACTAATGCCACATCCCCATCTGCAGATCAGTAAGCCAGCAGGGGATTGACTTAAATGAATCAGAATTCCCTGTTGAATCTGGGATCACACCTGAATAAAACCTTGGCTCTTAGGAAACAAGGAATAGATATTGGGTAGGCAACCATCAGTGTCCCCTACTACATAACGTGCTTGGCTATTGGAGTCTAGAATTATGAGGTATCAGGCAAATTTTTAGAGACAAAATGAAAGAAAACTGTTTTGGACAGAGCAAGAGTTCTTAATGCAGTGTATTGTCAGAGGAAAAAAAAGTTCTTTTCTACCAAAATAGAATGGGAATTGCTATTTATTGAGGACCTACTATTTGACAGTCCCTTTGCAAACAATATTTTATTTAATGTTACAGTAACTCTATAAGACCTGTGCATTTGATAGACAAAGGAACCAAGGCTCAGAGGATTTAAGTAATTTTGTGTAAACCAAGTTCTCTCTTTTCTCCAAAGCTATGTTCTTCCATTTATTTAATAAGAGTAGAAGTCAAGACCCAAATGTTAGGGTAAGGAATTTTTTGAAATATGCTATGATATGCTGCCCACATCCCTCTTTAGCAATAGAGGACTTACTCCTTGAGCTGCAGGAAGTGCTGCTGGCAGCAGCCCTCAGCTGACATCCCTTGTGAGGATTGTGCTGTGTCAGCTGAAGAGAGCCATGTTATCTCAGGTCACATGCTCTTTCCCAGCTGTCCTATAGTCAGTGACTGATCAAAGTGGGGGTATAAAAAGGCCTGGCCCCCTTGCAGCTCTGAAGAATCCCAGCTTCAGAACTCCCATAGGGTAGGCTAAGTTATTGCTGCTCAGCTTCTCCCTCAACCCAATCATGTCTTTCCCATCCCCGCATGTACTGATTGCAAGTACACTCCCTCACAAGCCTCTTGAGATCTAATCTCTCTGCTTCCTGGGAAACCCAACCTGTGACAATTACTAATTTAACAGATGTGAAAAGGTAGTATTGTATAAAATATTTTGGGCCTGGTGTGGTGGCTCACGCCTGTAATCCCAACACTTTGGGAGGCCAAGGCAGGTGGATCATGATGTCAGGAGTTCAAGATCAGCCTGGCAAAATGGTGAAACCCCGTCTCTACTAAAAATACAAAACTTAGCAGGGCATGGTGGCGGGCACCTGTAATCCCAGCTACTCAGGAGGCTGAGGCAGAGAATTGCTTGAACTCAGGAGGCGGAGGTTGCAGTGAGCTGAGATCACGCCACTACACTCCAGCCTGGGTGACAGCGAGACTCAATCTCAAAAAAAAAAAAAAAATTTGGTCTTCTATAAGATGAAGTGGTTTTGCCACATCCTAGTTTTGGAATTTTATTAATCTTTGGGCTTGCTGCTAATAAGGGTAGAAAGGCATGGGTAAGAATGTTGACGATGGGAACAATTAAATTTTGAAAGCTGACTATATAAGATACCTTTTTTCTCTGTAAGAGATTTCATAAAAACCAGGGAGATGTTCCTTTATTGATATCAAATTACTGATCTGAAAGCAGCAAACTAGAGTTTAGAAGGAGAAATGGGATTAAAAAGCAGTCACAAAATATACCAGAATCCTAACAATAATTGTCTATAGGTCATCTATAGGTAAACTTTTTCTTAATGCTATTCTCATTTCCTGAACATATTTCCTTAAGAAAATGAGAGAATAATTTCCTTGGAACATCTCCTGATTTTTATGAAATTCTGGAAGAGAGAATCTTGAGGTAGTATTTACTTCCTCTCCTTAAGAAAAAGATTTTAACAAGTATAGGAAACCTTGAGGCCCCAATGCAGTATTAATGTTGCTGCATATTTTTTCCATTGCGCGTTATCGAGAATAAACCACTCCAATTAAATGACATATTGAGACAGGTAATTCACTATAATATTTATTAAGTAGATGACTTACAAGAAGGATATTGATGAATGTAAAAATTTTCACTCACAGTGAACATAAAGCCTTTACACATGTAAGGTTTAGATTTTTTTTTTAGTCTGCCCCTTTCAGATTATATCATGGTGTATGAAGCGTTGGTGAGGTCTATGTCACCAGAAATTCCCAGTTGGCTGATTTCATTGAGCTGTTTAACCCGATGATTGTACTGCAACAAGTGAGCATCATTCACCGCAACCTTGAAGTGGTCAGATTCAACCAGTACTTGTATCTGAAATGGCATATACATAAACTATTACATGAGGTAATGCATATGTCAGCTGGATTTAGCCATTCCACAATATATACATGTTTCATGTACATGATAGAAACAATTTTTTGTCAACTGAAAGGAAAAAAAAAGTCCATTAATTTCAAACCAGTCTGGCCTGAACTCAGGATGTCCAACATTTCATCCTTATCATTCGTGGGACCAGTTAAGATCCAGGGAAAGTAACTTCACAGCAAAAATTCCAAGTTATTCAGATTTTTTTTAAAAGCAACAAATTTATTACAAGGATATATAAGTGAAGCCATAAAGGTGAAGGGTAAGGATTTGCCTGCATAAAAACTTAAAACAGCCTGGGTGTGGTGGCTCACGCCTGTAATCCCAACACTTTGGGAGGCAAAGGCGCGGGCAGATCTCTTGAGCCCAGGAGTTTGAGACCAGCCCAGGCAACACGGTGAAATCCCATCTCTACAAAAAAAAAATAAAAAAATTAGCCAGGCGTGGGTGGCATACATCTGTGGTCTCGGCTACTAAGGAGGCTCAAGTGGGAGTATCGTTTGAGCCTGGGAGGTTGACAGGCTGCAATGAGCTGTGATCGTGCCACTGTACTCCAGACTGAGTGGCAGTGTGAGACTCTGTCTCAAAACAACCAAAAGTTCTGGTATGGCCTAAAACACCTGAAAGAAAAACACAAAAGTAGGATTCTTTTGGCAAATGTTGTAAAGATTGGTGATAATCAGTTTTGGCAAGGGTAGGAGAAATCTACTCTTCCAATAGTTAGTGGATGTTCATTCCTACATCTTTTTGGAAGCAGCAATTTGATAATATCTAAATTGTAAACACATATATTTAAAGCAAAGATTTCTAGAAGATTTGCTTCTAGGAAGAAAATATTTGTAAGGATAGTTATTACAGTATTTTAGTAAAACATTTCCAGGTTGGAGGGTTTCTATTCTGTAAATTTATATCAGTAGGGTACTAGTTAAATTATCACATCTAAAAATGAAATACTATTGGCCGGGCATGGTGGCTCATGCCCGTAATCCCAGCACTTTGGGAAGCCGAGGTGGGTGGATCAGGAGGTCAAGAGGTCGAGACCATCCTGGCCAACATGGTGAAACTCCATCGCTACTAAAAATACAAAAGTTAGCTGGGCATGGTAGCACACGCCTATAATCTCAACTACTCGGGAGGCTGAGTCAGGAGAATCACTTGAACCCGAGAGGCAGAGGTTGCAGTGAGCTAAGATCGTGCCACTGTACTCTAGCCTGGCGACAGAGCAAGACTCCATCTCAAAAAAAAAAAAAAAAAAGCTATTAAGTAACAATATGCTGATATGAAAAGATGTCCACCAAATGTAGACTATGGTCCTTATTTGTCCCTGTTGTTGAAGAGTTCACAGTCCAGCTGTTTTATTTACCACTCTATAGTCAACCCTAACTCAATGCTGTGGACCTAATATTTGTTGAAGCAGTGCTTACAAATAAAAAGCATGCTGTATGTCAGAAAACACTAGGAAGATACTCATCAAATTGCAATCTTTGTGAGGATGGGGGAAGGAGTAAAGGAAAGGAAACCTTGTTGATTTTAAAATTTATAAACTTTTCATAAAACTTTAATTTTAGAATAAAAAACATTTAGTTTTGATCTCTATGCCAACTTTTTTTTTTTTTTTTTGAGACGGAGTCTCGCTCTGTCACCCAGGCTGGAGTGCAGTGGCACGATCTGATCTCGGCTCACTGTAAGCTCCGCTTCCCGGGTTTGCGCCATTCTCCTGACTCAGCTTCCCGAGTAGCTGGGACCACAGGTGCCCGCCACCACGCCCGGCTAATTTTTTGTATTCTCAGTAGAGACGGGATGTCACCGTGTTAGCCAGGATGGTCTCGATCTCCTGACCTTGTGATCCGCCCACCTCAGCCTCCCAAACTGCTGGGATTATAAGGCGTGAGCCACAGCGCCCAGCCCAACTGTGTTGTTTTAAGCAACAAAGTTGCAGTACAACTGTACCATAAAGACTTTTGCCTTTTTTGTTAAAGATTATATTCTTTTCATCTCTAGAAAGGCTTAAACTCAGAAGGGTGGCAGCAGTGATGCTGGTGAGGTGCCTGAAAGAAGTGCGGAGTGTGCCACTCCTGGCCATGTTCTCAGCCTGCTGAGCCTGGTCCCCTGGGCAGGGAGAAGATACACTGGTTAGGCACCTTAGGACAGGTGATAAAAACTCACTTCAAGTGCTTTGTGGTTTTAGAGTGATTCCTCATGAGAAATGCACATTATCAATATATAATAGTAGCAATAACTTACTTTGAATGGTTTCCCACTTTCAAATGGGAAAACCGACTGTCTTTCTTCCCTTCCCCAGTTATTATCCAGCTTTGTATTGCAAACAATGACTCTCCTGTTGTTCTCATTGAAGCGTGGGTTAAAGTGGAAGGCAACATCATTCCTTCTCTTGAAATCTAAAGCAATTCTGTTTTAAACCGAAGACCAGTTATTAAAATGATTAAAACTGTATATCTACACGAAGTAAAGAATACAATTTTCTAAAAAGCAAATAATTTCATAATACAGTACCTAGGAAATTTTTCTGAACAGAAAGCAAATCAGAATGGGTTCAAACTGGAAAGTATCCTACGCCTGATATTCTATGTACTATCATAAAATCTAAAGGTAAGCAAGACAATATATGTTGAATTTTTTTGCCTCATTGTCTTCGATCATATTTCCATTCATCTGTAATGCCTCCTTTACAGACTCATGAAAACCCTTCAAGGTTTTCTTACAGAGGTTTAGAGCCACTCTGAGGATACTTTATCCCTTACTATAGATAATGGTTATCTCTTTCCTGCTCTTCCAGTTTGCTTTCAATCCCTGGTAAAGGCAAGCCAGCTATATAGTTAACAGCCATCAAATGCCTGGCTTCCTCGTAATTAACCAGAAGCCCTAGTTCCTCTAAAACAGCAAGGATGAGATAAGGTAGTTAATATTCAGTATCTTGTTGCTAAGTTGTAAAGTCATGATAGTAAATACAGTAAACATTCTATGATGTGAGCTGGAACCAATGAAATTGCTAGTTTAGCTTTTTGACCCTGTTCCTTCTCCCTGGATGTTAATGCAAACACAAATCCTCTATGACTAACCCCATCCCTGAGTTTCTCAAAGTGTGCTCTATAGAGCAGTAACACCAGAATCATCAGTAGGTATTCTTATTTTAAAGCCAGGTCTGCACTCAAGACCAACTAACAAAGATTCTCTGTATTTTGATTCACCCAGTAAAAGTCACATTCAACCACAAATGATCTTCCAGTGATTAAATTTGTAAGGAAAAAAAGCAATAGAATTTGCATTTGACTAAATATACAATGTTGTCATCTCTGTCACCTTAAGCACTTTTTTTTTTCTATGCAGTTCGTCATATAGAATTTGCAGGACTAAGCAAGTTTTTTTAGTTTACTACCATTAACCATTTCAACCAGAATTAGTTTTGATCTGCCAGTCTCAATCTACATCTCTAGCATTATTAGAACTAAACTTTCCAGTGAAATGACTCTAACAAGACAAGGATACCACACTGGGTATTCAGTGTGCATTAGGGGTTGTGGGAGGAGGAGAGCAGATATTTAATAAATCATGAGTGCTGTGTGCACAGGATAAGGTGTGCTGGGTTCTATGTGATGTTGGGAGGAAATACGGATAAGGACATAGAGGATATATATATTTTGCAATTTGCTATGAGACGGGCATTATTGTATGGGGAAGTTCTGTGCTTACAGAAATTGTCTAGGCTGTGTGGAAAGATGGGTTGGCTTAGGATAGTGACTACCATTGCAGAAACAGGGGAG